TATCTAAATCAACTACTTAATATAAAAAAAAAATTAATAATATGACAGTAATCCAAAGACTATCAAAAACAATTAAATAAAAACAAAAAGCCAAAATAGTTCAAGACAATAGAAACAAAAGTGCTAAACAGATTTGAAAACAGAGAAGTTAAAGAACAATTTAAAACAGACAGATGTAACATATAGGTAATAAAGATTAAATAAAAAAGTTTGTTGAAGAATAGAAAAAAAAAGAATAAATAGTACATAATGTAATAAAGAATAGACAATTAGAAAAAATAGTTAAAAAGAAAAAGAAAAAGCTATTAATAAAACACTAACAGATGTATAATATAAAAATAACTTAATAACTAAAATTAACAAATATAAGTGATAGGGTGTGGTGACTTAGTGAAGTAAATAAGTTGTCAACCCTTCAAGTGGTAGATTGGAAGTTCAAAACCCACTGACAGCAAAAATTTGGAAACCACCTATGTTATATCAGTATATACAGGCATCTGTGCAATGCTAGAGTTATACAGAGGAATGCAAACTGGCATTGGACAGTGCAAACACAAGATAAGTTCTTGATCTATCGATCAGTTGGGATCAGTATCTGTAACACAGTCACACCAGATAACTGGCAGGTCATGGGGCATCTGTGGCCATATAAATTCGTAAACTGGAATAACCAGAAGCCCACTTGGAAAGACCCAAGTAGAGTGATAATACAGATCTTCGACAGTACTACTGTAAAAGCTAAACCTAGGAAATGAATACCAATATGGAAGGAATTTGGTGGGCAAGAACCTTGAGTAAGGGGTACCACCAACCAGGCTAGCAGAAGTCTCAAACCAGAGGAAAAAAACCTTGGGGAGCAAACCCTAGAGTATTAAAAACAGGTTACAGTCCTACTGAGCTATCTGGATTAGAAGTCTAAGGTCAGAAACAGAAGTATACTAAAGTACTAGGGATATGCTGTGAAGTTAGTGCTAGGGTATGAGTGACTTTGCAAGAATGAGCCCTGTTAACAAGATACTAAATGTGGGTAGTAGTTAGCAGGAGGGCCTCCTGAAGCCCTACAGTCAGATGACATACTCTGAAATGTGTAACAGCTTGACAGATATACAGATAGAAAGGTCATGGTTAGGTTAGATAGCACTTAGATGTACAAGAACTTGTGCACTATTTGTCAGTATAAGTATAGAGATCAGAGTATTTAAAATAGGTAATCTTCTAGCAGATTGCAAGTATGGCAGCTAGTATAGAACCTGCTGTGCAGGCAGACTACTTAAATTAGACAACCAAAAGTTGTACGTATGACTAGTTGTATACTCACCTTGTACAAGTTATGAAATCATAATTAAAAATACAATAAAGGCAATAGCTGCTGATAACTACAGCCTTAGTGAAAGCAAAAAAAAAACAAAAAAAAAAAACAAATATAAGTGATGTATAAGAAAAGAAAAAATAATAGAAAATAGCTATTAACATTAGATAAGAATCTATAACAAGATAAATAAGATTTCAGATATGCTAATAGAGCATAATTAAAACAGCTATTGATTAACTAATAGGATATATGAAAACAGAAAATTTGAAAGAAAATGAACAAAAGCTAATAAAACTGAAAATATTAGAAGGTTTAGAAATAGAATTAGTTAGAAAACAAAAGCTAAGAAAGAACATTAATTAAGAGTTAGTAGAGATCTTAAGAAAAAATATATCAAGAGATAAAAACAAATATATAATATATACAAATAGTGCAGTAAATAAAAAAAACAAAGAAGAGACAATAAATAGAAACATAAATATAAAATAGATACAAACAAGTGAAACATAAATTAGTTAAAAGAAAAAATAACATTAGAAGTAAAAGAATGACCTACATTTACAACAACTAAGATGTTAGCAATATGTATAACAGTTTTAGCAATACTAAAAAAAAAAATACTAGAAATATTTATAGATAACAATGCAGTAATTAGAAACATTAGTAAAGGCTTAGTATATATAGATAGAAATGAAGTTCTTAAAAGAAAAAATGTACTATAAGTATTGAAAATAACTGATGTAATTAGAACAAAAAATATACAAATAAGAGTAAGTTAAAGTAAAAAGTCATAATAGGAACAAATAGAATAATAAAACTAATAGTCTTATGAAAAAAGAAACATTGAATATATTTTTAAAAAAGGCTAAAGTCATCTAAAGAGGTATATTATTTGATAAGAAGAAAAAATATAAGAAGAAGTGCTTTTATGAAATATATATTGGACAAACTTCTAACTTTAAAAAAACTTAACAAAAAAAATCCAAATATATATACAACAGCAGAATGTCAAGTTTACCAAAGCAAAACCAAAAAAATACAAAAATATTTAGTATATTATAAAGAACAAACAAACCTATAAACAAGAATACAGAAAATATCTATTGCAACAGTATAGAAAAGTTTAAAAAAAAAGCAAAAATCTAGGTTCTATTTTATATATTATATATAGCACTTTTTAAAAAAAACAAAAAGAGATGAAATAAAAATAAGAAAAACACTAATCAAAGGCTTAATTTTAAAAACAACTTAAGGCAGATTATTACAACTTTTAAGTACAAAAACAAGATAATAGTTTATAAACATAGTAGCAAAAATAGCATAAAACACATTCTATGAACAAGTCTAGAGAATACACTATGAAAAGGTTAACACATAAGAATAAGAATAAAAAATAATGAGTCAAGTAAAAAAAGAAAAACAGAAAAAAAAAAATTCAATCAAGAAAAGAAAGACTAGTTAGTAAGAAATAGAAAAAAAAATAAAAAATAAAAGAAAAAAGAAAATGAATTAAAAAGAAAATCAGAAAGACAATTTGAAAGCTTGTCATAAAAGAGAAAAAATCATTTCATTATGAACTTTAGTAGTCAGATAAGCAGCTTACCTCTGCTGAAAGTAATATGACAGGTTGCACTTAGGTGCTATTAGGGTAACCAAGTAATGCTAGGCTTAGTTGTTAGATATATTTATATAATTGCAATAGTAATTTCAAAAATCTTAATAAAGCACTAATGTAACTGCTTATAAAAAACACAAAAAAGCTATAATAATTAAATATATAATGAACAATTTACTATTATTGAAAAAATTAAATAAAAAAGATTAAAAATAGATATAATAAAATATTAATTGTTAAAATAATAAAAAAACCTCAAACATATATAACAAGTTGTAATAAATAAAAAAACATATAAAAACAAATACAAAAAATTCAACTGCAACTGTATGAAAAAGACTTAAAAAAAAACAGAATTTTGTCACAAGTATACATTGTTTAAAAAAATAGAAAAAAAATTACAATTAAAAAACAATAAAAAACCTACTTATGACAAAAATGAAAACAAACAAACAACATGAAAATGCATAAACATAAATAACAAAAATAATATAAATATATTTTATAATTAGATATAAAAAATCTGATATAAAAAAGGTGCAAGAATAAAAAAAAAGAGATCAACATATAGAGAAAAGAAAGAAGAAAAATAAAATGAAAGAAGAAGAAAAAATAAAGATAAAAAAATAAACCAAATAAAAAAAAGAAACTTAAAAGACAATTGATACACTTGTTACAAAAGAGAAAAGACCCTTCTGGTATGACTTTAAGTAATTAGACAAGCAGTCTATCTCTAACTGAGGTAATGTAACAGGTCACACTTAGGTACCGTTAGGGTGGCCGAATGATGCTAGACTTAAGAATTAGGAAGTTCTATGTATATATTACATGTATAATAAACATGTAAATTTTTTTTTTTTTAATCAACAAAATCTTTGCGTTAATCAAAGTTGCAGTAGCCACTAACGAAAAGAAGAAAATAAAGAATTAGTAAATCGAACGAAAGATAATATCGAACTAAAGTATCGAAGAGCACTTATCTCAAACCAATTACCGTCTCTATAGACCCAAATTATCGGACCAAGTCTTTCCACGCCTCAATCGAAGATTAGGGTATTGGTCATTATAGTGTTCTGGTAGTGAATTATAGTCGTTAGACCCAGAAAATTTTCCAAAACAACTCAAACTTTTTCAACATGATCACTACTCTAATCAGAAACTTTTTTTTTTGCTGATGAATATCGAATACGTATTCATTAACAGTTAACTCATTTTTACCAATTTAATTTGCAAAAAAATTTTCAAAGTTTATCAAGTACGTAATTGCTTCTACAGTTTTAGTTTGCAAATTAATTAATACGTATCACTAAAACCTGGATGACAACAAATATTTGCTGTGTTGCGTATTAGATTATTCCAAAATGAACTCTCACATACTAGACAACTTTGAATCACTTCTACAAGCAAGCACCATTAAACCTGATGCTTTAATCCAAAGCATACAAATCATCGAAAAAAATCTTCACGATAATTATGAAGAAAATTTGCTATCACGAACTCTAATTCTTTTAGCTATATCCTATAAAATATTTTTATAACTTTGTCATTATTTAATTACAACGAAACTTATCTAGATATTTGTCTTGACTTCTTTATATACTATGCAATCCGTATTCCTATTTCTTTTTCTGTCAGGGTACGTTCGATAGATTGTTTTAAAGAAATATTGCGACTTAAAGGATACACAATATCGGATTTAACGAGTGAGATAGTGTTGGGACTTCAAGCAGTAAGCAAACAGCTAGTTGTATATTCGCGTAATTTTCGTGATCTTAAGATAGACTATTATGTAATTAGGTTCAATCACTATCTGAAAGTATTGAAACCACGCTACATGAAATCGCAGTTCGAACGCAGGATGCAAATGATCCAATTGATGTATCAATATTAATTAAAGTAAAATCACTTCTCTTAATTAAAAATATTTTGAAGCAGTTGTTTGTTTATCTTAGATTATGAGCTATATATTCCTAACCTCATAACTGATTAATAGATTTTTTGTAATTTCTATGGTAGAATTATGTGTCATGTTTCAATCTTATAAACAAAATAATGCAAATTTTACGTGACAAAATGACAAGTAATATGTCACAAGACGGTTTATTCTTGACGGGACTAGAACATCAATCCAGTGTGTTTTTCAATGTTAAGTCTTGTATCCTTAAGACAAGCCGCAGTGCTTTTGTAATCATCAAGGTTTGTTAAGTCATACTTCTTTTTAAAATATTATATTGCATTACTTATTTAACAAAATTTCGGTGAACTTAGATGCCAGTGTTAACAAATAAGTTATCTCAAAACAAAGAATTATTGCAATTAATCTCTACATTGCATAAAAAAGCTTTCAAAGTCCTTGAAGATTTCCTGAAATTTATTACTGAATTTTTACCATCGACACCCAATATAGGATGCTGTGAGATGCTTGCAACGTATATTTCTGATGGTGCATAACTTTGATAATAATTGTTTTTAGGAGTATATCGATTGGTTATTCATCTATGGAATAAATTATATTAGTTTGTAACGGCCTTATTCTTATAGCCGAAACGAGCGTGTCAGATTATCTTACTCTCAATTTGTCCTGGAAATACATTATAAAACTGTCAATTGCGTATAAAAATGACATTATGAAAACATTGAAGGTATTAATCTATTATATATTACCTTTGCGTATGTTTTAATCTTAGTAATAACATTATATATATGATGTTTTATACCATCTTAGCTGGATTCTATTATTAACAATCTCAGCTGTGGTGCATCTTATAATTTTTCAAAGTTGATAAAGTCGGCTAATTCTGATGAAACTTTTCAGCAAGACCCTCCAGATGTCAAGCAGATTGACAAAATGTTGACAATTGTGCGATTTTATGTTACTCATTTATTGAGCATCGTGAAATGCTATGTTGAAGTAATTTTAAAGGATGAATACAAATCTATTATTCAAGCAATACAATATACTTTAATTTTTCTTGTGAGGTACGAAATTTTTATTAATTTAAAATTTTACTAACCATATTCTAATATATATATGTATATATATTTTTTTAAAGCAAATTATCACCAAACTGCCTAATAACGGCATACGCTAATAATTTATTACAAGAGCACATTCTTCCTATTATTAACAACATCTTTGCCACGTTATTCATAAACAACATAGCAAGCGAAGATGAATGCTATACTATGATATTTAATTTTGCTAATTTATCCGTTGATGCCATTAATCATGAAAGTTCGGTCATACCTGAAATTGTGGAGATTGTGGATTTTACATTTGCAAAAATTCATTTTTTACAAATGATTTTAATAAATATTAATGATATTCCAGTCTTGTTACAATCCAAATTATTACCAAGTCCAATATTAGCAAAAGATTCAAAACAGATATTTTGTATATTGAGAACCTTTTTCGATGTGTTGGAGAATTATCCGGAAAACAATTTACTTACACCAATGGTTATGTTTACTGACAGAAGCATTCATCCTTTGCAAAACGTCTCGTTTGGTGCTCAATGCTTTGAAGATAATCTTTACTTCCATATTTTACGCACTTTATGCATATTTGCAAACACATTGCCCGCATCTCTGTTCATGGTATTTGAATACCGCATGCTGGAATCATTGTTACTTTCACGGAGTTTTATAATCTGTACTTTGATCATTGACTGCTGGGGTTGTGTTAGTAAGGTTTTAGACAGTCAAGTATTGTATCAAGAAGCTATGCTAATAACAGAAATTGTAAGTACGTAATTCATTGTTTTTTCATTTATAGGAAAGAAGTGTTAACTGATTTTTTTATAGATAAGTGGTCTTGTACATACGTCTTCAACTCGTTTTCGATTAAGAAGGTTGCTTAAACGCTTGATAGCTTTTCTTAATGTAGAGCAGCAGGTTACTGACTATTTTATATCAGGTATCATTATGTAATTCAGCTTGATTTTTTATTAATTACAATGACTTCTTATCTATATAGATTAAACTTTCAAATGTCGCTAGTTCTTGTACCTTTCAAGCTGATGAAAAAATTGCTCAGATATTATCAAGTAGAGAATCTACAATTGTCAATGTAGATGGCGCTGATGTTGGTATCTAAAAAATAATAAATTCTACCTAACATCATTTTCAATTAAAAAAATATATTTGTATCGGTATAGAGTAATTCGGATAGTTACATGAAATTATATGCATGGACCAATTCGTACTTTGAAAAGAAGCCAATACATTCGGTTGATGACGTGTTTTCAATTGTAAGTGTTACCTTTAAAAAGTAATTTATATCACTTACTGTTATTAAAAATATTAATATTGCTTTATTGTAATTTATTTAGTATTTACTTGTTTTGCAATCTGAAATTTTGATGCCATATTGCATCAAAAATGATGATACCAAATTTATTTCATTTAATATTGCATTGACTATTTTAAAAAATTCTATTAACTGCATTGGTTCATTATCTGACTTTTATCCATCATCTGCTGAGTTTCGAAAGGTAAACATTTATCGCCTTATAATAACTTTACAATCCTTTTTTCAAACAATTTAATAATTTCATAGATATTTGTTACTATTGATGGTGTGATTGAATTCATGATAAACTTACGGTCACTAACTTTAGTTGAAGTACTAGAGGTACTAAAATTTCAATTTATTACGTATAAACATAATTGAGGATCGTAATCATTTATGTTTTTTATGTATGTCAAAAAAGGTACTTAGGGTTGTGGATCACTGTACTGCTTCATTGGTGAATAATTGCATTTGTCACATATCCTTATGTAATTTTATTGACAAATTCGCAGAAGTTTTGCTTAACGCAAACGACAAGGTAATACTTTATTTCGTTTAATTATAAGTTTAGAAAACAAACTTTTATTTTATCTATTTTAATATAAACTACAGCAAATTACTGCGATCGTTAATTCTATCTATGATAAGATATTCACAAACACACGATGGTTCACAAAACACGAATCCGCTGCCCAAATTGTTGGTTTTGTTTAATTACAATAAATATTTCAAGAGTAACATATTATAATGAATAATAAACGATATCTATTTGGATATGATTTATTCAGGCCTGTTATATGCAACATTCCCAGAGTCTTGAAATAATTTATTCAGCTATAATGCAGCAATTACGTGAGCAGATTGTGAAATTTATAAATCGAATACCATCATATTCTGATGACAAATTGATCTCGGTATGCTTATTAACGAAATTTGTTAATTGCGTATGATATTTATCATCATTTAGAGCTAATTATTTTTTACCGTAGGAAATAAATTTCTGGCGATTTATACAAGATAGAAATGAACAGCAATTTCGCTTTGCGCAATTGAAAGATTTATTTAACAAAAATTTAGTTTCAATTGCAGCAAATATTTTTTCTTCAGTAAAAATCAATTATGATATAAATAAATCAACTCTGGAATGTTTGGGCGGAGCTCGCTTGGTAAATGAATTTATTCGAAATTGTTTGGAAGGGTATCAACAGCCAGATGTTTCTTTTGAGCTAAAGTTAGTCCTTAATGATTTAAAAGATAATTTGACTAAATTTCTTCAAGGTTAATGTAGCTTTGTTGATGCTAGTGTTAGCGTCATTATGATTTGCAAATATTATTATTATAAATGAAAACATAATAATCGTTTTAAGCTCTTTTGCGGTTAAGTTGATTTAAATAATACGATCCATTTTTGCAATTTGAAGTGCAAACTATTGGACATGTCCAATTAAATTTTTTTAATTGGACAGTTTTGGACATCACAAGTATCCAAATTTAATCTTATTGCCTATCGCTATGGATTTTAGCGCAAAAGGTGGTCAATAGAGTTACCTGATTATAGCGATAGAGATGGTAAATTTTTTTTAAAAAAACCAGTTAAACCTGGTTTGAGAAATAGTTTGTTATTTAAACTGGTTTGGGTATAGGTTGACCACAGTTATAGTATGATTATGTGAACCGTTATAAAACTGCTAAAATTGTTACAAGACTATTATCGCATGATAACAATTTAACAGTTAATACTTAACGTTAAAACACCTTTTGAACAGATGTGCGGATGCCGCATAGCAAAAATTAACATTTTGTAAATAGTGCGCACAGTTGCAAACAGTTGCTTGTAGGTTTTCTTTTTTGCCACACAGATAAATTTCCAAATTGTGCGGCATCCGCACAGGAAATTTTAACTGAAAAATTAACACTCTTAAAATTATTATTATATACTAACGGCTTAACTGTTAATATTAAAACCATTCATTATAAACTGTTAAAAATCGGTATTACATAATAACGGTTTAACTGTTAGTAAATCATTGTAAACTATTCATTATTACATAATATATAACATGCATATACAAAAATTATAAGTACTAACATAGTATATGTATTTTTTAAAAAAATTCTTTTTGCTGATTATCAAAATTTACAAATTCAGAAAAAAGAAAAAGTGAAAAGTGAAAAGTAAAAAGAAATAGTTATTCTGAAAGAAAAACTTATAACAATCAACATATACGATTAATAGACAGAAGCATTTGATATATCAAAAACAAATAAAACAAAAAAAAAACAACAAACTAGTCTTCTGAGAATCTGATTTTGTCACAACAACCAAGCAAACAGTAATATATACTCTTAACTCTGATTTAAACATTTATATTGTTATAGAATGAATTATTTATTTTTTTAATTTTTTTTAATTTTAAGTAGTTATGCTAGTATTTTATTTATTATTATTTTTTTTTTAAAAGTGAACCTCTTGGGTTAAAGGTTTGTATTGGGTTCTGCAATTCAGTCTGGCCTGGTCTACAAATTTTTGCAAGTTGAGTCAGATCTGAAACAAAATTTTATAATTGCAGATTAGGCTAAACTAAAAGTTTTTTAAAATTATATAATAAATTTATAAACAGAACTAGGTTAAATTAGGCTAAAAAAAAGGGGTGTAGTAATCTAGTAAAGTGAATAAGTTGTCAACTCTTAAGGGGCAGATCTAAAGTTCAAATTCCAGTGATGGCAAAAATTTGCAATTCTTTCTGTGTTACAGTTAACTGTCTTTTGTGATTGGTTGAGATAAGATACCTGTAATTCATGTCATACCAGCATGACTGGAAGGTCTAGGCACTTGTACAATATTATATGAGGAAACACAAACCAATACCAAGTAGTGTGAACCCAAGATAAGTTCTTAGGCTATGTAAATCACAAAAACCAGGTAGGAAGATAAAAAGCTACTTGGAAGACCTGAATAGAAAGATAACCCAAACCTTTAATGATGCTACTATAAAGACTAGACTTGTGAAATAGAGTTAAAACTTGTAAAATCAAATAAATATGCCAGTCTTTAAGAAGGAATCAAATGAACCAACCAGGTCATCAGAATTTTCAGGTTTCAGAGAAAAAGGATATATGCTAGCAAACATATAAACCAGAGGTATAGTCTTATTTTATCTTTCTAGATTATCTGAAATGACGGTTTGGTAGAACATGAATTGAATACCAAAGTAGTAAGAATAAGTTGTGAAGTTAATACTGGGATTAGAGTGAACTTTACAAGGGCATAGTGGTTTAATAATACATTCTAATTATCAGTATTGATCTTAATCATAGTGATATCAGGTCAGCTATAAGAATAGGATACAGAAGATTCTGAAAGGTTTAGTACAAGATCAAAAGTCCTTATATGAGTAAACTGCTTTAAAGACTTAGTGGTCATAGTATATTTTTACCAACATTGGCTGAGATCATTGGTAAACAGAAGTAGGTAGATGGATATGAAAATAGAATAGTTAAATAGAAAATCTACAAGTAGGTTTTAGGTATAACAGCTAGTATAAACCCTTCAAACAAACTACTTAAATTAGACAATGACTAAAGTTATACAAGTAACTAGTTGTACATTCTCTCTATGATTGCTCTCTGTAGTTGTAATGCAACCATTAACCAAATATACTATTAATAAAATCCTGAGTCACAAGTACTCATCTTAATATTTAAAAAAAAGAATTAGGTTAAAGAAAAAATTTAATATATGCAGATCAGGTCAAGTTAGCAAAAAAATTTCAATTCTAAATATGAGTTAAGCTAAGTTATAAAAATAAGTAATTTGTAGGTCTTTATCTTTAGTCTTTTGATTTTTATTAATACTTTTAGTATTATATTTTATCTTCCTTTTCATATAGCATGATTTTTAGTTATACTATGCTTTAACCTGGAATTAACTTGTGAAGCAGATTCAAATAACCTAAAATGACCTGCTTTGAAGATTAAAAAGATTAAAGTATGACAAAAAATATATATATATATATATCTACATATATATATGTATATAATATACATATGAATGTATCTTCCTTTTTATATTATGCAATACTTGGTCACACTGTCATGTTTGACCTGTTTGACTTGCGAAGCAGGTTAAAATTACCTGTAAAGCAGGTCAAGAATAACATAGTGACATAAAAAAATATATATACATATATACATATGTATGTATATACATATATATATATGTGTAATATATGTACATACATACGGTTCTTATATATTGTGTGATTCTCTGTCACAGTCATGCATATATACATATATACATACATATATAAAATAAAAATAATAAATTATTAATTTTAGTTAATATATGTATATAAATAATATGTACGTATGTATATTCATAATGTAATAGCATATGTGTAATGTAATGATGTATGTATAACATAATAATATATACGTAATATAGTAATGTTTGCATAATGTAAGACATTTTGCATATGCAATCTATAAATTAATTTACTTTTATAGATTAAAATTAAAATAAATAA